TTTTAGGTTGTATCTACAGAAATATTGAATACAAGTCTAAAGAGGTTATAACATTATTGTATGGGTCATTGGTTAGGCCACATTTGGAATACTGTGTTCAGTCTTGGGCTTCTTACTTGAGAAAGGACATTGAATTATTGGAAAGGGTTCAGAGTGGGGCTACTAACAGGATACCTGGGATGGACAGGTTGTCATACAAGGATAGGTTAAGATCTCTGAGCTTGTTTTCTTTTTTTTAAAAAAGAAAGGTTAGAGGACATCTGATTGACGAGTTTAAGATTAAAGGAAACAACAATGTTGTTACATCCTCTTTTTCCATATTTACTGTTAAAACTGGGGGACACAAATAAGACTTTTGGTAGGGTAGGAGTCATATTCAGCTAAGACAGCTTTATTTTTTGAAGTGGAACAATTTTCCTTTGGGTTTGATGGACACAATTTATAAGAGAATTTAAGGGAGAACTTGAGAAATAAATAATACTGGCTAGATTTTAGTTTTTGATTTATTTAGTGGACAGGATGACCTAGATGGGCCAAAAGATCCATTGGTGTCCTTTAATTTGATCTTCACCATTAGCTTCCTTAAAAGTGCATTACCACTGCCAGGCCCGTTATCAAATAAAGTCTACTCCCAAACATATGTGCAATAGCTAACCCTTTGTCAAATTTAAAAAGTAGGAGCCAATTTTATGAAGTAATAAGTGATAGTAGTAGTAGTTCTCAGTAAAAAACGTAGGCCTAACATTACTGCATGGTAATACAACATTACTAATAACACATTATCAAAATGATAGTGTAACTTGTAACTTAAGTACAACGTCATTATGACAGTGTATGATGTAACTAACATTGTTTGTATTGTTAGAGATTTTTCAATCATATATTTTTCTAAGCTACAAAAACAAGAACGAATAAGTTAATATACAATACCTATATAACCTGCTGTAGCAAACGTACGATAAAACACAAATAATCGTTTCCGAATTAAGCTGGAAGTCGCTGCATATTTTATAAACGTAGGCCTATTACAAATCTTCTACTCTGACTAACAAGTTTTTTTTTGCAAACATGAACAGTGCGCCATCTCGAGTTTGTAGTTTTATGAAATACAATGAAATGGCTAAAATAATCGAAACGCTAACCAATGAATTATATTTTCCTTTCAGAAAAGACTAGTAATAAATAATAGTATGATCGTATGAGAATAACCAAAATGAAATTATTATTGTTACGTCTTCGTTTGTTAATTGATTTTTCCGTAACTTCGTTCCAACGAAACTTTAACGACACAAGTCTTTAC